CACACATATATACCTATATTTGTTTTCATATTCTTTTTCTTTAAAGGTTATTACTAAATATTGAATATAGTTCCCTGTGCTGTACAGAAGAAATTTGTTAGTCACATTTTTTTAATGCTTTTCCATGTTTCTCTTCCGTCTCTTACAAGATGGGCAATGATCCAGACAGCAGCTACTAGCCTGGAGTGAAGACACTGTAGGATAGAGCCATATCTATCTAATGATAACTTGTAAAATGAATAAGAAATTATGATTTGTTTTTGTAAGGCGCCGATTCTTGTGGTTATTTGTTATTGTTGCATAACATAGACCATTTTGACAAAAGTAGGTGGTAAGTGGAGTTTTACCCCAAGTCTCCATCACAGTGGGCCCACTGGATCCACAGTTGTGTCTTGTGGTTATTTCCCCAGGACCTAAATGTGTAGTTGGAATAGACATATTAAGAAACTAGCAAATTATATTCACTCTGACATGCAGTTTAAGGTTTGTTACAGTAGAATGGACAAATTTGTAAACCAAAAGCAATATTGAATCCTAGGGGAACTGCAGAGATTAATGTTACCATCAAAGACTTGAAAGATGCATGGGTGGTGATTCCTACAGGCAAACCTCAGAGGTATTGCAGGTTTGGTTCCAGACCACTGCAGTAAAGCCAGTCACGTGAAGTTTTTGGTTTCCCAGTGTGAAAGTTACATTTACACTATACTGTAGTCTATGAAGTGTGCACGAGCAATATGTTTTTAAGATGTGCATGCCCTAATTGAAAAATATTTTATTGCTGAAAAATGCTAATCATCATCTGCGCCTTTGATGAGTTATAATAGTAACATCAAAGATCACTGTTCATAGATCACCACAGCAAATACAGTGATAATGAGAGAGTTTGAAATACTGTGAGAATTACCAAAATGTGACACAGAGACAAGAAGTGAGTAAATGCTGTTGGGGAAAAAATGGTGTCATAGACTTGCTTGATGCAGGGTTACCACAGCCTTTAATTTGCAAAAAAAAAAAAAGAAAAAAAAAGTAATCTGTGAAGCAGAGTAAAGCGAAATGCAATGAAACAGGCATGCCTGTTACTTCTTCACTTACCTTGTCCATCTGGCCTGTGCAGAAGACAGATCTATCCTGGATAATGAGAGTAGCTTGTTATAAACTTAATTAGGTGATGCGTTTTATTTCTTCTGTTGTTCCGAATATTTTCTCTTTGCTGGAATAAATCAACACAGCTCCTCACACCTCGTATGCAGCTGTTGGTCTGGAGGATACTTTGTTTCCTTAAACTGAGTAGCGAAGACCAGCAGAGCAGTTTGCTTTTACGTGACAGGGACAGTAATACATCTCACTGTCTGCTTACCTGATTACTGCCCCAGATCCAGCAATGCATCCTCTACTTGCCGACTTTGAGTTGGGCCTCTCTCGATTCTGTGAAGAAGAATGGCTCTGCCTCTGCTTCTACTCCCTCTGTTATTCTAGGTTTCTGGAATTTTTGTTTGTTCATTAGTTTTTTTTTGTTTCCCAACTTTGGCTGCCTGTATGATTCGACTCACATCCCATCAAAAAGCCTGTCAAAGGCATTTGTCTGATGCCACCTTGTCTTAACTTCATCACATCTATAGATTTATTCTTTTTAGAGTAGTGAGCATGTTGGTAATCAGAAATTCT